ATTTCTTTTGTGATGATTTACATGTGATTCTAGACAGAGAGGTGAACTGGATATTTAAAAAACTTACATGTTAGATCATATTTCACAAAACTTACATGTGCCCCAAATTTCTTTTGTGATGATTTACATGTGATTCTAGACAGAGAGGTGAACTGGATATTTAAAAAACTTACATGTTAGATCATATTTCACAAAACTTACATGTGCCCCAAATTTCTTTTGTGATGATTTAAAATATAATAAGTGTGATGTTTTGACTTCGAGTGTTACATCATATAATACCTTGCTAGAATATGCACTACTTATTGCATCAACAAAAAAATATACATCCCCACATTGGAAATGAAACCGTGATATAAAGACATTGACTTTTTACCATAAATTAGCAACAATAATAAAGATAAAAAGAGCAAAGAACAATTGGAATTCACACATCAATAGAAGCTCAAATTATAGTAATTTTGGCTAAACAGATTTAAACTCTCAAAAAAATAGCAAAAACATGATTCATGCATTTACAAGATAAGTCACTAATAAGTAACGTGAGAAAGAATTGGATGTCAAAGTTGGAAATAAATTGGTATTCACATAAAAATTCTATTTAGCCGCTGATAATTATTGTAAATGCCACATTCTCTTATTTTTAATTACAAGACAAATTAAAATTCTCTTTCATAAACTGAAAAAGATCCATGAAAGTACTACCAATGTCTTAAAAAACCAAAATGTGTATGTAATAGATCAATTCTAGGCTCAAGAAAGCTGAAACATGATGTAACATATTAACAAAAGAATAGCAAATAAACAAAAAAGCTGAAACTTGGATGTAACAAAATGGAGGAAACATGTAAGTTTTTTGAAAGATAAACTCAAAAGAGATTAGTAGTTTATTAACAATAAAAGAGATTAGTAGTTTATTAACATGAATGCAATATGTGAGATTTCACTGCCAAAACCCTAAAAAACTAGGTTTCACTCAAATAATCTTAGTAAATCTAAAAGAAATTTAAGAAAATTTAAGCTAAGAGGTGAATCTAAAGATAAATATGAAACAATAGCGAAAATATACTCAATTCTAACACCACTGTAAGTAAACAAGCAACCAAGCAAGAAAACCGAGCAGTCGAGCCAACGCTGACTATCCGAGGAGAAATAGAAGTAGATATTAGCAGACGGATATGAACGGCGAATCCTAAGCTCTCGCACCAGAAAGCCTTTCGCGATTTTGAGAGGAGAATGAAGGAAAGACAGACGGCAGCTTGCGAATTTGAGAGGAGACGACCAGATGGGAATGGGATTATGGGAGCGCTGTTAAGGTTTTTTTTTGGTATAGTTTATTATATATTATATTAAATATGTAATTTATATTTTATAAATTTATAATAGTTATAAGTAATAATAATATAATATTCTTAATATTTTTTTGATATATTATAGTTTATAGGATAAATTTTTTAAAATATGATAATTTTTTTAAAAATAATTAATTATAATTTATAATATTTAATTTTATGAATATGACTTGTTTATATTACGAGCTCAAAAATTGAACGAGCCGAACACGAGCTGCTTAACGAGCCGACACGAGCTGTTCGCGAACGACGAGCCAAATTGACAGCCTTAGAAGCGAGGATATCTCAAGACCTCTTTTGATACGAGATACTACATATCGGATTTTATGTGAGCAAGCAATGTAATATGAGGCAAAAAAGATATGTTCAATAAAAGAAATCCCTCTTTACGCGGTGTCATTGAAATGACTTTTGGTGTTTAGAACAAGAAATGAGTTGTATTCCGCGATATTTCATCTTACCCGTTTCACAAATAGGTGCAGGTTGTGATTGCCACGATGACTCTCCACAATTACATTCGGCTGCATCATTCCCACAATAACATCGACTTTTGTAGGACAAACGTGGATCACAAGTATGTACCTACCGAAGCATTTGAGTACCGTCTTAGACATTTTTTTGTCATAGCTTGACAATGATGCTTCCAACACTTCTACTAAAGACGGAATGTACAAGGGAGATTGCAGAGTTGAGGGAACAAATTACGGATGCGATAGTAGAATGGTGATCAAAGTATTTCTTATATTATTAGTTATACTTTATTCAATACTATACCTATTTTATTCAGTTTCTATTTGTTTCCTTTCGTTGTATATTTGATATTAATTGTTTGAACTTTTTACGTTATTTGTAAGTGTTTTTTTATTTGCATATCACTTGTTTTTCTTTTAGTGGGTGTGAGGTCTATGATGAGACGTTTGATATTGTTGGTTCTTCTTTATGACTTGTTAGTCATTGTTGGTTGGCGTTGCGTGTGAAATTCTATTGAAGAAAACCAAACTCCTCTCTTCTTTTGGTGTAGCGATTTTTGAGGTTCTTCTAGATGATCATTTTTTGGTATATGTATATTAAAAAAGTTGTAGTTATGTCAAAATTTTTGTCCCTTGTCTTATTGTTATGATCGTCACTTTAAGAATACTATAACTATTTTGGTTTAATGTAATACTTCCCATTAAATTTTAGAAGTTATGTGATGATATAATGCTTTTTATTGAGATGTATTATTGGTTATGGGATTATAGTTTATTCAAACTCTTTACAAACATTATTCAAATCTTGTTCTTGCTATGTTTGAACCTATATTTGCGTCAAAACACATGGTTCAAATGTGATTTGAACAATATTTGAATGTGGCTAAAATTTTCCTAGAATATGATCTCAACCTTGTTCATATGGTGTTTGAATCTTGTTCAAATAGTGTTCGAATTAATACTTGTCGTGGTGGACTTAAAGAGTAGTTCACAATCAAAAGCAAGGTTATTTGTTTCAGAAGAAATTTTCTAGCTTTTTCTTAAGGAAACAACTACCACATAAATTTCTTTAATTTTTTGTTTTTACAGAATATATGAAGTTAATTTTTTCTATGGAAAGTTTTTTTTAGTCGATACATTTTATTTATATTTGTTTTTAAAATAATCAATCAAAACTTTAAATATGAGGTACAGGCCTCTTTGATTGAGGCAAGGCACACTGACGCCTAACTCTGAGGTGCACACCTCATGGCAAAAGTTCTTGAATAATGTTGAGGCACGCCTCTTGTATTGCACAATAAACCTGATTGGTTCATAAATGTATTAGTTATGTAGATTCTTCTAGCAGATATTCAAAGTGATATGCTCTATTGTATTTTTTTGCTAAAGGAAATGGAAATTTACTAAAACAAGCGAAATATTAGAACAACATAAAGAATATATGAGAGGGGGATTAAAATTAATAGAACGGGTATATGATTTTCAATTTAATTTAGTGAGATAATAACAATAATTATTTAATATTATTATTAGGTAAATGAATATCTAGTGACGTGTTTTTTGTATTTTTGTCATTGTTGATATAACTTCTAAAGTTAAGGTTGAGTGTTTAAAATGGAGAAGTGCCTCAAAACTATTGTGTGCTTTTGACAATATCTTTGAGATTAAAGGGAGACATGAAAGAAAATTAGATAAAACTACAAATTAATTGTATGTGTTATAGGGATCCGAGTTTTTGGCAATATTGAAGTCTTTGATAGCTTTATTTTAAAATCTTTGGGAGTATTTGCTGATAAAGGTTTTTCATCATTCCATTTTAAGAGTTAAATTTATGGTTATGATAAAGGACTTGGAAAGTTCTATATTTTGTTATTTGCATTAGAATACTGAAATGTAATTTGTGTAGTAGTAGGTTCATGGATATCTAATTTATTTTTCTCTTTTATAGGCCAACATTCGACTTTAAGCCCATATATTTTTGCTTTAGTTATGGATGTTCTTGTTGGAAATTATAGGAGGTTGTAGATTGGGGTATGTTTTTCGTTGATGATATCCTTATTGTGGATAAGACTTGAGAAATAGATAAAAAAAAAAAAACTAGAATTATGGTGGTTTACTTTATAGTCTAAAGGCCTTCGTTTGAGTAGATCTAAAGCTAAATATATGGAATGTAATTTTAGTATTAGTAGATCTAGTGACAAAGTTGTAACAATGAGTGATTAAATCATTAAAAAGAGTGAACATTTTAGATATCTTGGGTCTATTGTTTAAAGTGATAATGATATAGATGAGGATTTTATTAGTAGAATTCTAGTTTGATGGTTGGAAGAATGCATCGGGTCTATAGTGTGATAGAAAAGTAATAATTAGACTTGAAGGAAAATTTTATAAGATTGTGGTGAGACCTGCAATGCTTATGGCGCAGAATTTTGACTTATAAAAGAGAAGCATAAAACTAATTCAAGTGTTGTTGAGATGAGAATGCTTAGGTGGACGAGTGGCATTACACTTAGAGACAATGCAAAAAAAAAAAAAAAAATCTGTGAAAGGGTTGGTGTAGCTTCGGTGGCAGACAAGATTAGAGAGAGTTGTCTTAGATGGATTGATCACATTAAACGTCGACCATTTGATGATCCGATTGAGAGAGTTGATGTTTTATATTTGACTTATTTTAAGAAAGTAGAGTTAGACCTAAAAAGAATTGAGCTTGTATAAAAAATGATCTTTATTTATAAGAATTAAATGAAAATATGATACTCAATAGGACACAATGGAGAAAAATTATTTATGTAGCCGACCTCACTTAGTGGGATAAAGGCTTATTATTGTTGCTGTTGTATTGGAATACTGATTATGCAAGATGTTCTGTTTGTAATTGTTATATTTGCATCTAATTATATTATCATTGCAATTAATGGTTGGATATCACAATTTCATTGGTTCAGCATATCTACCTAATTTGTTATTGTTCTAACTTAGGGACATGCTATTGGCTATTGATCTCTTTGACATTCCTTAAAAAAATGATGCACATTGCTGCTGAAATGTTGTTTATAATGTTTTATAATGCATTTCTATGATTTTTATCTTGGTTGTTTAACTTAAATTTTGTTTTTTTTCTTTGATTTTCTTAGTTACTGTTTTCAACTGTTGATCAATACTGTACTCGAATCTGCAGGTTATCTGAGAGTTCTGCTCAATATTGTTGCATTCGCTCTGTGCTTTTCCAGTAAATTTTGGTTTGCAAGTCTTTACTTCATTAGGTAATTTTAAAACTGTAAGCGATATCAACAGACTTATAATTGTTTTTTCCATGCACGTTACAACAACACAACAACAACAAAGCCTTAATCCCACTACGTGGGGTCGACAACATGCATCATTTTTCTCCATTGCGTCCTATTTAGTGTCATATTTTCATTTAGTTCTAGTAAATTAAGATCATTTTTTATACAATAAGTCCAAGTCTAGTACAATAAGTTCATTTTTTATACAATAAGTCCAAGTCTTCCTAGGTCTACCTCTGACTTTCTTAACACATATCGAATTTAAAACATCTACTCTCCTAATAGGTTCATCAGATGGTCGACGTTTAAAGTGACCAAACCATCTAGGACGGCTTTCTCTAATTTTGTCCGTCACAGGAGCTACACCAACCCGATCACGAATATATACATTTCGCATTTTGTCTCTAAGTGTAAAGCCACTCATCCACCTAATCATTCTCATCTCGGCAACACTTAACTTATTATTATGCTTCTCTTTTAAAGGCCAACATTCAGCGCCATAGAGCATTGCAGGTCTCACCACCGTCTTATAAAATTTTCCTTTCAGTCTAAGCAATACTTTTTTATCACACAACAGGCCTGAAGCATTCTTCCACTTCAATCAACCAACTTGAATTCTACTACTAACATCCCCATCTATATCACCATCGCTTTGAACAACGGGCCCAAGATATCTAAATTATATACACCTTTTAATAATTTGATCACCCAAAGTCACACTTCTGTCACTAGAGCTATTACTACTAAAATTACATTCCATGTATTCAGTTTTAGTTCTACTTAAACGAAGGCCTTTAGACTCCAATGTAGACCTCCATAATTTAAAAATAAATTGAATGAATTTGGAATAGTGATAAGGAACAAAGTTAGATTTATGGCTAAATGGTACAACCAAATAGAAGAAATAGACTTTGAAGAAATCTTTGCCCCTGTAACCTCACTAGAAGCCATCCGACTACCAATTCACTAGAAATGATATTTGGAAATTAGTGTAAAGACCTTCAAAACAAAATATAATTGGAATTAAATGGGAAATAAAAAATAAGTTGAATGAATCTGAAATATTTCTTCTTGAGAACTCTCCAAAGGATATCTCTTGGAAGCTTATCGTAAGCTTTTTCTAAATCAATAAAAATCAAATGTAGATTCTCCTTATTATCTCTGAACTTCTCCATCAAACCTCTCAATAAATGTATAGCTTCCATAGTAGATCTGTCCGACATAAATCCAAATTGATTTTTCCATGCATGTTAATTGTTCTAAATTTCTCATGCATCTGTCAGCTTTGTTTGTGATGGAGTAGATGGTTGGCTTGCACGGAAGTTTAATCAAGGTACTTCTTCTCTTTCTGTTAACCTGTCCGCACCTTCACAATTTATATATTATAGTCTCAATGAATGCTTTTTGTAAGTATTGGAATCTATTCTTCTTTGTTTTTAAGGAACTGTGACATGCTTTCTGAAGACTGCATATTATCTGTAGATTCATAGCATTTGTTCATGAAAGTAAATTTGTGAAGTTAATAATTAATAAATTGTGAAAGATTTGCTAGATTGTTATGCTTATACTTTTGATAAATATCAAATGGCGCCTATGATGAAAATGTTTCGCTAGCTTCCATTTTTTGATCAATTTGAATGTGCATGCCATACAAAGAAAGGCATGGTTCCTTGGAGAAGAAGCAAAGCATGAACTTAGGAATTGGAAATAATGATTTTATTGAATAAATAGTTGCTCGTACTTTAAATCTGTAAGCCAATAGATGGGGGTAGGTTTGATGTTTGAGAAGTACTGATGCATTGTGCTTGGGATTTCCTGTGTTAGAAAATTCATTTAGCTTTTCTTTGGCATGGGTATATTCAATTCTTATTTATTTGCTTTCGTCATATTCTTCTTTTATCTTGTTTTTTTTTCCTTTTCTTATTTTATTAATATGACATGTTGGGTTTCCTCCTTTCTTTATCCCTCAAGACTTACGTTCTTTTCCGGCCTCTACCTCTAGTTCTTTGCCCACCCATCCTTTTACCCACATATCTTACCTTTGTACTTCAGCCACAATAAATCTTAGATGGGGGGAAAATTGAAAAGGAGGACTTTATGGAAGATGAGAAAATGAACTTCACTAGAAAGTAAAAAAGCTACTTTACAACGACTTGTTTGCTGTTTGGTGATTATAACTTTTATATTTAATGCCAACTTTGGCTCATGCATATTTGAATCTTGACATGGACTGACGCAGTTTAAGCAGCAATTCTTAAATGAGAAAAGAAATTATTGCTTGCTCAGAAGATGAGTTTAGGTAGTTTTACTTTACCCGAATTGGCACCTTACATTCACTTGCATTTCCACATGCATGTTGAAATAGCCCAGAGTCTCACCCATCAAGATATTATCCTCTTTGGCCTAATGGCCTTGTGACTTTATCACATTGATATAGCTGCTCAGGAGGTCAACCATCCTTAGAGTGGTCCGCTCCCGCAAGAGCATGCTTAACTTTGGAATTGATGAAATTTAACCAGTAAAAAAAATGTCGCATCAATGCTTAAGAGTTCAACTTCATTCTTGTTAAGTGGTTTCAAGTATCTCCCATTCAAGTAACCAACGTCCTTATTAGTTTTCTTAACCTATGGTCATCCGCGACACATATATGATTTTAGAGGTGGCTCTTACATATTCAAGCGCTGACGCCCACTATGTTTGTGCCATCTAGGATTAAAGCGGTGGCTCCTAGGACATGTGTCTTGTGGAGCATTGTGGTGTAATCCCTCGTAAGCATTACTTAGTTATAATGTGCATCTTTTATATGATTTAATGTAGTTGTGTATTGCATGGCTTTCTTTGAAATCTTGTGAAAAGTGGCAATAGATTCCCATCTTCAGGCCGGTGATGGCTTTTGTATGACATTTAATTCCCATTTTCATGCCAGTACAATGCTTTGAAGTCATTTGTAACAGCCTGAGCTCTCATCATTGAGAGATTATTGTCTGCTTTGGCCTAATGTTCTTGCACTTTTGTCCCATTGGTGTAACTTCTTAAGAGTCACCAATCCCAAGAGTATTTCTACACGAGGACACTTAACTATGAAGTTTTTGATGATATTCCAACTGTTGCACCAAAAGGTAGCCTAATGTTTAAGTGTTCAGCTTCATTCCACTTAAGGGATTTCACACGTGTGCTTGTACCGATTAGTTTAATATTGTCAAGCAGAACTATGCCACGTCAAAAAATATAGTAAACAAGAATGAGGAAAATCACAACTTATTTGGGAATCTCGTCCCTTTTCACACGATTTCAATGAAAGCTATGCAGCATGCAACTGCATGCACATTATAACTAAATAATGCTTACAAGAGTTACACCACAATGCTCCGCAAGGCTCATTTCCGGCTGATGGCCTCATGGCTTCTCTCATGCTTAATGGAAATTTATGATAATGTATTATGCAAGAAATTCCATTTTATACCTTTCTTTGGCCCATTATTGTCAAGATATTTAATTGGTATGATTTTTCCTAATTCAAACCTAATTAATACAGTGAAATCTGTGTAACTGTAAATGTTGGAGAATTAAAATCTAAATCATGTATAATTTTTTATAGTTTGTGATCTTCTAACCACTTTCTTTTACTTAGTGCTTAATAACATTAGATTGTTAAGATGCTTAAAAAAAAATCAAAATTTACCTTCATGGGGATGTGAAACAAGAATTGAGTTCCTAACATATGTGTAATGATTGTTACCAATTGGCTTAAGTTTTGGCATCTATCACTAGTTTATTGGGCTTTACTTGGATGTATGACATTACACTCTCTTAACAAGGAGTGTTAGAGCTGATGATTTTGTTAAGAAGTGTGCTCAATGTGATTCATGGCTCCCACTTGTAGTCTTGGCATCTATCATGGTCTATTAATTTCCACTAGTGTGTGGCTCATGCAAGTTATGCTTGTTTGATGACATTAAAATACTTTCGTTTGAGTGAAAGTGATGACTAATACGAATGACTAACTTGAGGGGTAGATTGTTGTGAACAAGTGGGAGTGGAAGATAGCTCTTCAAAGGATGTTAAACAAGAGTTGAACTCTTAATATTTACTAGTGTCCATATTGGTTTATACTTTGGAGTTTACAACTTAATAAAATGATTTATTGCATCTATGAGCCATATCTCAGGGATATTCACATTCAAGTAAGCTACAAAATATATGGTTATACATGATTTATACATGATTTCAATCTTTATAGTGGATAAAGATGCATTGTTCTTCTAAAAACATTTTAGATCATGTCAAGTGGAATAGAATCTTTTAAAATTCCTTAGAAGTGGTGATTTACATTGGAATTTTTAGCTTTCAAAAGTCATTCTCAAATAATACTTCTTATGGTTGCAGATCAACCTTGTGCTCATTTTTTGCACACAATCAAGTTTGTTTAATTTGCATGGTGATTTGATCACTCAAATCTGACCTAGTTCTTTAAAAAGCAAGGTCCATACAATGTTCCTCATTCGACCTTGTGCTACTCTGATCGGATTTTATAGCTGACACAAATGTAATGTGCATAGTGTATCCTGACTTTGACCCACTAGATGGAGATCAATTAGGCTTTGGATCTCCTTCTAAGGGAGCGAGGAAAAGTTTTTAGGGCTTGGTGGAGTAGTTTAAAGTGTATGTAGGCATAAAAACACACTTAGAGTTGACAATGTAGTATTGCTTAAGATTTGAAAAACCCTAGTTCAAATTTTAAAAATTTCATGTGTAGAATTTATTGATTTTTTAGCCTTCAAATTGTATAATGCTAATTTAGTTTGTCTGTAAGGTGTTTTTGAGAGTATCATGATTTTTTAAATATTTTATATATTTTCTTGAGATTCTTATAAAAGGTTAGGAGATAGTCTTTTTAGCCGACAACATAAGCAAAATTCACTCTTTATTTCAGCTAGTATCAGTATTGCCTGTTTAAATACAACTCGAAATTTTCATCTAGAAATACCCTTGTCGATAATGATTTACCAACTATGTTTTTCAAAAGCTAATTTTACGGATTGATTTGTAGTTAATTTTCAGTTGGTAAATCATTATCGATTGAATTTCTAGCCATTAACTTTGCCGGTTGAACTTGCAGCTAATCAGCTCGACGCCAACCATGTAGTTGATTTTTTAGCGGTAATGATTTATTGGGTGAAGAATCGGCCACGAATCAACCTAAAAACTATAAAGCAAGGGGACCTAGCCAAACAAATTTTACATTTGCAATAAAAAAAAATATTAACTATATCAACAACTTCTCCCAACAATGTACAAGAGCAGATGGAGAGTAAAAATGAATAAAATCATAAACAAATATAACAAAAAAATCTCAATAAATCATCATGACAAGAGTATCTGCAGAGTAAAAGGGAATAATATAAATAATGTCTACAAAAATTATAAATAAAAACCTACTCGTCGTCGTCATCTTCCTCGATGATAAGTTGCTTGCCACACATACATACCTGGCATTGCAACTGCTGAATCGTTGCCTCGATTCTCTTCACATTGACATCCCTGGCTTGCACCGTCTCCACCATCGAGTACTTCAGCTTGGACTCCATCTAACATTAATCTATAGAGAAGTTAGCTCGTAACTCCTTAGTGACTAGTGAACTTGTCATCAACCGATGATGCCTTATAACCAAAGCTTGAGTGCTGAGACTCGTAAACAAATTCCCGTGCATCGAGGCCATATACACTCTCCTTTTTCCTTCCCTTTGGGAGCTGCAATCAAGATCTCAAAATCCGAGTGGTTAGACTGATTGCTAGAGCTACCAATTTCTGATGGGCTTTGACTCCGGATAACTTCAGGCGCATATACTCATCCTATAGAAGATTAGAAAGGCTAAGTAACATTGAAATAAGATTTTAAATAACTTTCACAAATAAATAAAAAAATATTCAACTTAGGTGGACATGGCTAGATTTGTCGTTGATGGCCAGTGTTCCACCTGACAATGACGTGTAGGGCATGCAACTTAGCGATTGTGGGTTCTCATCCAAGCTTCAGCCTCTGTTAACATACAAAAAGGTTAGGAAAAAAGTAATTAGAGAAATTATTTTAGTGTATTGTATAAATCTTATCGTCCACCTTGTATACTCATTATGGGGACCGAACCTCTTGTGTGTAAGGAGGTACTCATGCTTTCACAGTTCAAGGCCCGGTTCTGCTTCGCCGTCATCCTCTTCCTAAGATACTCAGGATAGGACCAGGCTCTACACAATTTGGCTCATACATTCTCGTCTATCCATATAAGCCTCTGCCACTTCTTGCGAATATCGATGACTATATCTCGCAAGCAGTTT